ACCAACATCAAACAGGAACTAGAGCATTAAACTACCCTTTGGAACCATCTGTCATTCTCTATTCACTATTAGGAGCAAAATGACTAACACGGATTCCTAAAGCAGAGATCTAAAGCTAGTGGAGGAAACACACCCTTGTCAGAACTTCTAAGCCAAGTCAGTTTCTAAGTCGGTGAGAAGGAGTACCCCAAACCATACATAAATTAGGACTCCCTTCTCTCAATCAGCCAGGTTTGTAGCTGTGGAGAGGAGGAAAGGACAAGCAGACACTATGGCAAATATCAGTTCTACAGGAATCAAAACTCTACTCTGACCGTTAATACTTTCCTTTTTCTGAGGGAAGCAATTCACAGGTTGGGTTGAAATCCTTCGCCACGCACCAAGAAGAAATAAACAAAATTACCATTAACCATTCAGTACAGAAAGAAAGGACTCCGAGCTATAGCCCATGTTTTTTTATAACATGTTTTTTCTCTACTTTGATGATCTTTCTGGAGCTAGTAACAAATCAACAGCATAGGATGTTTGGTAATGAGGAATTTCTGAGGTAAGAGTGGGAATCATCCAAGATGACATTGTGATATGCCTTTCCAGCAGGTTCAGGTATTATTCTGCCACTTGTTAATCCATGGTCTGTACCAGGGCTCATTACACTCAGCTCGTCATGGCTCATTACACTCACTCAGCTCTTGATGGAGGTAAGGTCATGCTACTCCCAATCTACGCTACCCCTTTGCCTTACTGTCTTCTGGCAAATACATGCAACATATAGATGCAATTATATTTTCACTTAATTAGTGAGCAAATAACTTAGGTTTTTACAGGTGTATGCACTCAATACACAAAAATTATGATAAAAACTAGTGCAATGCAAGCTAACCAATAGCCATCAGGTCCTAGTAATCTTAACCCTTATGAAAGCAGCTTGCTTTATTTACATTGTACTCACTGTAAATTAGTTTTCTATTTCTTCTGCGCAGACACCAGCTGGGGAGTTTCAGTATGTAACTCAAACTTCTAGGTATTTGCCACTTCTTGCAGTTACATCTAGGGCTTGTGTTGTGGCTCACTGAGAGTGCAGGGGTCATATCACAGATGCCCAGCATCCACCAGCCTAAGGCACACTGCAGCTGTGAACTCTGGAAGGGCTGTGCTGTTGGGACAAGTGCTCTTTTGGGGGGTTAGTAACAGCTTGGCATCGACATGCAACTTTTCCACCTCACATCTTCTATGTTTACAGTGTCTGCATATCAGTGTTCCCCCTGTATCCCTATTACTGAAGGTTTTGTAAACAAATGTCAGCACAAGTTGTCAATCTAGTTGGTCCCCAGAGATATCAGGGTATCCTTTCCAGCAGTTTTAGAATCAGAATCATGGAATGGTTTGAGATGGAAGGGAGTTTAAAGATTGAGTTCCAACCCCCTGCCATGGGGAGGGACACCTCCCAAAAGACCAGGTTGCTCAAAGCCTTTTCCAACCTGGCCTTGAATCCCTCCAGAGATGGGGCAGCCACAGCTTCTCTGGGCAACCTGGGCCAGGGGCTCACCACCTTCACAGCAAAGAATTTCTTCCTGAGATCTCATCTCAATCTCCCCTCTTCCAATGTAACACCCTTCCTCCTCATCCTATGGCTCCCTTTCCCAGCTTTCCTGGAGACCTTTTAAGGACTGGAAGGGGCTCTAAGGTCTCCCCAGAGCCTTCTCTTCTCCAGGCTGAACACCCCCTACCCTATCAGCCTTTCTTCATAAGAGAAGCCCTCTGATCACCTCTGTCGCCCTCCTCTTCACTCCCTCCAACAGGTCCATGTCGTTCTTATGTTGGGGGGTCCAGAGCTGGATATAGTACTCCAGGTGAGGTGTCCCTAGAGTGGAGCAGAGGGGCAGAATCCCCTCCCTCACCCTGCTGGCCACGCTGATGGGGATGCAGCCCAGGATGTGGTTGGCTTTCTGGGATGCCAGCGCACATTGCTCAGTCATGTTGACCCTATCAGCCTTTCTTCATAAGAGAAGCCCTCTGATCATCTCTGTCGCCCTCCTCTTGACTCACTCCAACAGGTCCATGTCGTTCTTATGTTGGGGGGTCCAGAGCTGGATATAGTACTCCAGGTGAGGTGTCCCTAGAGTGGAGCAGAGGGGCAGAATCCCCTCCCTCACCCTGCTGGCCACGCTGATGGGGATGCAGCCCAGGATGTGGTTGGCTTTCTGGGATGCCAGCGCACATTGCTCAGTCATGTTGATCTTCTCATCAACTAACACTCTGTCCAGCTGTATTATTACTACTACTACTGCTCCTACTACTATTATTATTATGAATCATCAGCTTTGGAACTTGGAGGTCCACCACTTTATAATTCACTTCTCCATTCTGTAGCTCACTAGTATTTTATGTGCACTCTAGCTCTGGGATAGCAATTGTTATTTCCCCCCAAAAATACTGTTCTTCAGGGCCATGAAGAGAACATCAAATGCAGGCACTCTCTGATGAAATGAGATGACTTGCAGCCAGTCTTTCTTCGCACATCAGCAGGGCAAGCTCCCACGGGACCTAGCAATTCTGGACACCACCAAAACTGTAAGAGTGCCCCAGGACTGGAGTCACCATCTTCATCCAGGACAGGTTGTCATAGAGCTGTGTGGATTTGGTAAGGTGAAAAGGAAACTCTGCAGTTTCTGATGGTTCTCTACAGATGTGAATTTGTAGAGGAGCTCCACAAGAGCATTTGTGTTGGAGAAACACTAGAAGTAAAAGGTACCATTAACCACAGTAAATAGTTAGCAAGATGTGTCCCCAGGAAAGAACAGGAGGATACCATAAATTGGCTAAAATAAGGCAACACCAAGACAAGCTCAAAGGGAACAGAACTGCTAACTGCTATTTCCACCCACAAGGAAGGCCAAAGAAGTCACTTGAACTATGAGTGAACTATCCTAATTAATATAGTAAAAAACCCACCCTCAGGTAGGGAGAGCCATCTTCTAACTAAAGCCCCCTCCTCATGGAGCATGTGTAGTAAAAAAAATGGATGCTGTGACTTTACTTAAGTAGAGACAAGGCAGAGCAAGTACCAATGGGAATGAGGATGGCTCAGCCTAACTGTAGAAAGTAGTGGTAACTTGTTTAACTGTTGCTCGAACTTATAAATGTTTTACCATGTGCTAATGGGGTTGTGCTGGCTTTGTGGATGAACTGCCCGGCACCCATCTTTGCGCAGAAATGAAATAAACAAGTATCTCGCCTCTTGTATATCAGCTCCTCACACACAGGGTTAAAAGAACCCAGATTTGGGAGAACATTTTGGGGAAGAAGCAAGGGACACAGCTGTCCCACGATCTCACTACCACACATGTCTTTGCTCCCATGCTGGACAAGAGAGGGGACACGGGCAAATGATTGTTTCCAGAGATGCCACAAAAACTGGCAATGGACAAGGTCCCAGTCCCCTAACGGGCACTGCAGAGAAACTGTGGGGGAATATGAATGCTCAGGTCCCAGTTCCCTCCATCACCAGTGAGACTTTAACACATCAGGATATCGGGGACTGCCACGTAACCTGGCAGACTAGCAAAATCATGCTGTTAATCCCAACTCCTACCCACAGAAACTGAGCTCAGAAATGCAGAAGGTCTCTTCCACAGGATGAGGCTCCTTCAGGAGGCACTGGAGGCATGACCAGAGGATGAGGCACCTGCAAACATCAGGCATAGTGATTACAGAGATGGACTTCAGAGGAGAAACACCCTGCACGAGCAGAAACCCAAGACGGGAATGTTGCTTCTTGGGGGTGTTTCTATCCCTATCCCACACACAGGTTAAGGAGAAGACATCCATGGGGAGCGAGCACAGGAGCGGGAAGGGACAAGTTCTCTGAAGATTCAGGCTACAGGTCTGATGGCACAACGCAGCTCAAGAGACACACAAATATCCCTTCTGCCAGAGGAAAGGGGTAAGGAAACGCCCCATCCGTACTTCAGAGCCTGAGAGGATCAGCTGTCCACATGGAGAGCGTCCCCGGGCTGGGGGCGACAGGAAGGTGGGAGTAATTTAAACAGAAGGAAGATTTGGGTTGAAAAGCTGATTTTGGTCTCTTGAAAAAGTGTTTTATCCACTCCCCTCCTCAAAACCTAAACGAAGCATTCTGCCCTCGCTGCAGGCTCACTGTCCTAAGAGTCTTCAAACAAAAGGAAAACAATGCTCTGCCTTTCCCCAGCACTGAGCAGAAGGCCTCGAAGGGCAGGTCCCAGAGCCCTCCTGGCAGCACACGGGAGTCCAAACCAGCGAACACACACATAACCTGAGGCCCACCCCCGTCTCCCCCCGCGCCTCAGCGGAGGCCACCAGGGGCCGCAGCATCTTCCAGCGGGATCCGCTAGTCCCAGCAGAGCTGCTTTTCCCGAAACAAGCCCTTTGCGAACAGACCGGGTCCGGGGACACGCACACCCTGGGGGCTGCCGGCTACTGAGGGGCGGCCGCGGAAGCCCAGGCGCGGCTCTCTCATCAGCCTAGCAACAGACACCGATTGGGTGTCACTGGCTCTTGGGAGGAGCCGCTGGCTGATCAGCCTAGCAACAGCCGTCTCTTGGCTCTCATTGGCTCTTGGAAGCAGACACACTCTAATCTGCCTAGCAACAGCCGTCTCTTGGCTCTCATTGGCTCTTGGAAGCAGACACGCTCTAATCTGCCTAGCAACAGCCATCTCTTGGCTCTCATTGGCTCTTGGAAGCAGACACGCTCTAATCTGCCTAGCAACAGCCGTCTCTTGGCTCTCATTGTCTCTTGTAAATCTTCGGGAGCTCGGACTCCACAAAGTCCTCAGCGCATGCGCCAGCTGAGAACGCGTTCCCGCCTCTCCCTGTCCTCGCTGCGTCACAGGTGCATGCGCACAGCACCCGGCGGAGCCGCCAGTTCCGCCCTTTCGCGGGCAGGGGCACTGCGCTGCGCAGTACCCGCTGACCCGGCAGCGAGTTGGGTGTGCGCCTGCGCTGCCCCGCCGTGCCCCGGAAGCGCTTGCCGGGCTGCTTCCGGCCACCTCAGCCTGGCCGGCGGGACCATGTCGGGCGCGGCGGGCTCCGGCGCGGGGGCGGCGGGCTCTGTGGGCTCGGTGGTGCGGCGCTTCCTGGTGGAGTACGGCAGCGGCACGCCGAGCCGCCTCAAGGTGCTGGACGCCTACCTTCTCTACGTGCTGCTCACCGGGGCGCTCCAGTTCGGCTACTGCCTCGGCGTCGGCACCTTCCCTTTCAACTCCTTCCTCAGCGGCTTCATCTCCGCCGTCGGCAGCTTCATCCTGGGCGGTCAGTGCTTCGCCGCGCCCTTCCCGGCCCCCGCGGGTCTCCCTGATATCCCCTTCGCAACCGCCCACTCTCCGTAGCGGAGCCTGAGCCCCCCCCCCAGCGACCGCGGACCCCCAGCAGCGCCCGCAGGCCCCATCAGAGAGTTGCCCTAGAAATACCCAGGTCTCCTGTAGTAACCGCAGGGTTCCCTTTGCAGCCACAAGCGTTCCCCAATAGCCCTCAAGCCTACCTCGCAGCCAGGGCGTCTCCACGGCAACTTTCAGTACCTCCCTGCCTTCCCCCATAACAGCTGGTTCTGCTCCCAGAAACCCCCAGGCCCTGCCCCGCAGCAGGACCCTCCACAGTGACTGTGACCCTGCGGGGGTCGTGTCTCTATGCAGCACAGAGCCCAGCTCCTTATCACTCCCAGGCTGCCCTTGCTTCTCCCTGGCAGTCAAGGAGGCCTTCTTTTTACCATCTTGTATTGGTGTCCTTTAGCACCATCCCAAACCCTAGCAATTGCTGTTTCAGGGTGCTGCTCTCCCCAAACACACCTCGTTCCTGTGCAGCCGTCCCCAACACACCGAATGGAAGACATAGAAATACAGAATCATAGAATGGTTAGAGTTGCAAGGGACCTTAAAGATCATCTTGTTCCAATCCCCCTGCCCTGGGCAGGGACACCTCCTACCAGACCAGGTTGCTCAAAGCCCCATCCAGCCTGGCCTTGAACCCCTCTGGGGATGGGGCATCCACGACTTTGCTAGGCAACCTGTTCTAGGATCTCACCACCCTCACAGCAAAGAAATACCCCCATTTCTATGTGAGTCCCGTGCTGTTATAAGCCTGTTCCCCTCAGGCCTCACTTGGCCACCCCAGACAATGTAGTGCTATGGGGGAACTGATTGCATAAAAGCCTTGTGCAAATGCCCTGTTAGTGTCCCGCTCGTCTTAAAACAAAGATAAAGTTACTTTTCCTTACGGTACCCTGATGGAACAGTGACCCGGAGTGGGGTGGGCTGCTCTGGGTAGGCTTCCTTCTGTGACTCCTAATCTCTCACTCTTTCTCTGCCATGCAGTTTGCCTCCGGATCCAGATCAACCCCCAGAACAAAGGCGAGTTCCAAGGCATTTCACCAGAGCGGGCATTTGCTGATTTCCTCTTTGCCAACACCATCCTCCATCTTGTGGTCATCAATTTTGTTGGCTGAGCTTCTAGAAGAGACTGTGAGGTATTGATTCATGGGGTCACTAAAGGGGACACCACAGCTCACTCGACTTCAGTACTTTTGTAGAGTTGGGAGAGAACTAGAAAGATCGTGAATCCAGGAGTCCTAGCTCCCAGCTTCGTCTTGGCCAAGTACAGTTACGCTGCTGTCCTCTAAGTTGGTACAGGGATTTATGGCTGTCTGGTTTTGTGCATGTATTTTTTGGCTTTTATCATTTAAAAGGCAGTTTAACTAAGAGTGTTACAGAAACCTACCCACATTTCTGTCCTCTGAGAGGAATACCCCATTCTTCTCTGCAAGAGGGGCTTTGGGAGCTGGAACTCCTGGGCTCTGTTTGTGAGTGTTGTCTCGTTTGGAGGCCATGGTATGGCTGGTGTCCAAGCCTTGAGTTTCTCGGGTGAGAGGAGGGAGTTTGGGACAGGGAGAGATCGGTGCTGGAAGGTGGAGGACATGCCGTGCTGCTACTGTTGCAAGGGGCCACAAGGTTATTGGAGCTTGCGGGGTATTTCCTCTCCTTTTGCGGAAACATTGCTCATGTTGCCTTTCTCTCCTTCCAGCTCTTGGACCACTCTGGAGCTCTGATGCCACAGCCTGGCCCTGGGCAGGGCCGTTCCCCAGCAGGCTCTTACCCACTTCCCTCATGGAGGAAGGGGAAGCAGGGCTCGAGACTTCTCCCCACAGACTTCCCTGTGGAGGAGTCTACTGTCCCATGGAGGCCTCTGCTGCCTTATTACTGTAATCCTTTCTGTCAATAAAACCCTTTACAATACAGCACTTTTTTTCCCTATTGGTGGCAAATCATAGAATTGTCTAGGTTGGACGGGATCATCTAGTCTAACCATCAACCTAACTCTGATAAATAAAAATAAAAAACCCACATCACTAAACCATGTCTCTAAGCACTACATCAGCTTGTCTTTTGAATACCTCCAGGTATGGTGCCTCCACCGCCTCCCTGGGCAGCCCATTCCAATACTTAATAAATATAGCATTTCTTCTGACACCCAAGTTTACTTTCAGGCACAACTCCCTGTTTTTACCCCTCTCCCTCCCTTTCTACCCAACAGGCTTTTTTCTGTGCCCCAGTTTCACCGGGAAGCAGGAAATAAGTCATCACAGAAACTCAACGGACATCCACCTTTTTCATCTCCCTGTTTTCTGCCCCTTTATCTTACAGAAAGTCTGTTGCTAATGTGCCCCCAAGCTTCAAAGCTGTGGAAAATTTGGGTTAGGCTGTGGTTAGTGGTCGTGAACGGAAGGAAGCAGAGGGGTTCCTCCAGCACATCCCAGGTGCACTTATCTCCCCCCAGGCCCTCCATGTCCCTCAAAGGCATGTGGGGTACAGCTGGATGGCCCAGCTGGACTTCCAGGCCCACTAAGGCCTGGCAGTGACACAGCCACCCTACCACAGTGCTGACTTTTCTTCAGCCTGATGTGCGGATAAACCCAAGGGTGTCAGAACTCAGACAGAACTGCACTTGAGCTGTTCTGAGTCCATGGAGAAGGTCACCCCTCAGACTTGACCTCATTGAAAATCCCTCCTGCTCTAATGTGCTATGAAATGCTTCAACTCAAGGGCTTTAGCTGTTGTCTGCTCCAGCCCAGCCTGGCTCCTGCATTGGGCTCAAATGCTTCTTTGTGCTGATGGAAGATTAGAGCCCTGTGGTGATCAGATTATGGGCGCCGAATGAGATTTTAGCCCCAGGTAGCCCTCTGCACCCTTGGCTGCAGAATTTACCTGCATCACCTTCTGCATGAGGCTCTGTCCGTGTTCTGAACCTGCTTCACATTTGTCTGGTTTGCTCTGCCCTGAAACTCTGGGGAGGTAAAATGTGCCTTGAGGCAATGTGACAGAAACACTTGTCTGCTGGCACTAAGGAGATGAAACATGGGACATGGTGGCTTCAACCTCTTCGCATTGGATTATGGCTCCTGTTTACCACCTTTCTCCTTTTAGCATTTCCAGCTATGCTGCAGCCACCGAACCCATGAAAGTGTGAAATCTGGGGCTCCTAAGCTTCTTGCCCCACTGAAGAGTGAGGTATGAAGGACCGAGTTCACAACAACTCCAGGCAATGCTACAGTCTTGGGGAAGAGTGGCTGGAAAGCTGCCCAGCAGAAAAGGACCTGGGGGTGCTGGTGGACAGCTGGCTTAACATGAGCCAGCAGTGTGCCCAGGTGGCCAAGAAGGCCGACAGCATCCTGACTTGTATTAAGAATAGCGTGGCCAGCAGGAACAGGGCAGTGATGGTGCCTCTGTACTGGGCACTGGTGAGGCCTCACCTCGAGGGCTGTGTTCAGTTCTGGGCTCCTCACTACAAGAAGGACATTGAGCTGCTGGAGTGTGTCCAGAGGAGAGCCACCAAGCTGGTGAGGGGTCTGGAGAACAAATCACACGAGGAGAGGCTGAGGGAACTGGGTATGTTTAGTTTGGAGAAGAGGAGGCTGAGGGGAGACCTTCTTGCCCTCTACAACTACCTGAAAGGAGGGTGTAGAGAGGTGGGGGTTGGCCTCTTCTCCTAAAGGAATAATGACAGGACCAGAGGAAGGGGTCTGAAGTTGCTGCAGGGGAGGTTTAGATTAGATATTAGGAAGAATGACTTTCCTGAGAGGGTGGTCAAGGCACTGGAACAGCCTGCCCAGGGAGGTGGTGGAGTCACCATCCCTGGAGGTATTTAAGAAAGGTGTAGATGTGGCACTTCAGGGCATGCTCTAGTGCCTGAGATTGTGGGGGGGTTTTGTGTGTGTGTGGTTGGACTCGGTGATCTCAGAGGTCCCTTCCAACCATGACGATTCTGTGATTCTGGGGTCTTCACTGTCTCAGAGGATGCTGTCTGGCATAGAGTCCACGCCAGCCCTGACACCACCCCCTTGCAGCCCCAGCCATTAAACTGGGTTTGTTCACGGCGGCACCAGCTCTGTAGAGCTGCGGGGCAGGAGGGGACCGTGAATGAGGCACCGGCTCTTCTGCCCTCTCGGAGCCAGGCCCGCCCGGACAGAGCCACCGTGTCCGCGGCCGGAGGGTCGGATGGCGGCCCCCCCTCTGTCGCTGCTGCCGCTGCCCTTTGCGAGCCGCGAGTGCCCCCCCGTGGTCTGTGTGACTCGGGCTCCACCCGGTTTGGCTTCCGAGGGCGCTCCGGGCGGGGGCCCTCCTGTGGCCACTTCTGAGAACTGCAGGGGAGCCTGTGGGAACAGAAAAACCCTGGGGTTTCTGCGTTTTGGTTTGGTTTTTTTGTTGGTTATGTTTTGGGTTTTGTTTTTAATTTATTTCTTTATTTTTACCATCTTGCAATGCCTCTACTTCCACATCTGACTAAGCTTCAACAAGTCTGTAGGTACTCCAAGCTTTGCTCCTTACAAAGACCATGCTTGGTCCATGTCCACACTGTGGAAGAGGGAAAAAAGAGAGGCTGTTTCGTGTGCAGGGCCATGTTTAATGAGAGATGTCAAATGTTGGGCAGGTGTTTTCTCCAACAAAACCCCTAGAAAAGATGCAAATTCACCTCCTACCCACAGGTAGGTATTTGGGGACAGGAGCTGGCACAGGTGAGAGGGTGCTAGAGATGGACCGTGGCAACATCTCCTTCCCTACCCATGTGAGGCCTCTCTGGCCCATCCCATCATTCCTCCCTTCTCTTTTGGTCAGGAGAAGTGAAAGGATTTTTCTGCACAGATTCACTGCTTGTATAACGCTGCAGAGGCCTAAGAGCAAATTCAGAAATCTTACACACTTCTAAGCTCTCTCCCTGCCGCCCACCGCACTTTGTGATGTATTTTCTTCCCCCCCCCCCCCCTTTTTCTCCCGAACGTCAC